GAAAGCCAAAAAATATAAATTGACAAGTGTCTCTTCAATTTTTGTGCTTCAGGTTTTTCCTCTGTAAAATGGCATATATAATACCTACATAGCAGGATTTTTGGAGTCCTGGTGTGGTGCTGTAGAATAAGTACTGAGCTACTAACCACCAGGGCAAGGGTTCAAACCTACCAGTTGCTCCTCAGAGACCCTATACAGGATCGCTAGGAGTTGGAACCAGCTTGATGGCACTTAACAACAACAACAACAGAAGGTTTGTTATAGGAATGACCCAATATGATCTGGGTCATGTGTCTGGTAGGTGCAGAGGATAGATAAATGATAGTTGATACTATTAATTATGCTAACACCTACAGCAAGAAAGTGACAGTGGAAAGAAAAGACATTGGATTTGGAACTAGAAGGCCTGGTATTGAGTCTCACTCTGCCATTTTCAAGCTTTCAGGCATTAAACAAAATATTGAACTTTCTCTGACCCTCAGTTTTCTCATCTGTAGTATGAGGACAATGTTGTTATTGTTAAGTGCCGTCGAGTCGGTTCCGACCCACAGCGACCCTGTACAGGGTTTCCGAGGGTGTAAATCTTTACGGGAGTAGAAAGCCTCATCTTTCTCCCATGGAGCGGCTGGTAGTTTCGAACCGCTGACCGTAAGGTTCGCAGCCCGAGTCGTAACCACTACGCTACCAGAGCTCCTTATGAGGACAATAGCAACACTGATATCGCAGGTGTTGTGAGATTGAAATGAGTAAATGGCACTGTGTAAAAAACAAAGTAAGATAGGAGATTAATGACCACCACCTTCAAAAGTTTTTACAGGATTCTTTTTGTGCCTGGTGCTGAATGTGTGTTTTATTTAAAAAAATGATACTGAAATTCATTGGGACTAGGAGTTAGGGGGCTATGGATGGATTTAAATGCACGCCTTGTTTATCATTCTATATTAAAGGCCTAGAATACTCAATACATATATAAATGGATAAACACAACCTTTGCATTAAAAAAGGATCCTAACCCAAAGAAATGACTGAAGAGAATTTCAGACTCCTATGGCAAACCAAGTTCTGGTGGTGCTGTGGGTTAGGATTGGGCTGCTAATCACAAAGTCACTTTATTCAAATCCATCAGCTGCTCCTTGGAAGACAGATGAGGCTGTCTGCTTCTGTAAAGATCTACAGTCTCAGAGCCCCTAGATAGAGTTGCTCTGAGTTGGAATCAACTCAGTGGCAGTGGATATGGCAAACCAAGGAGCCTTGGTGGCACAGTGGTTAAGTGCTCAGCTAGTAACCAAAAGGTCAGCAGTTTGAACCTACTGGCAGCTCTGCAGGGGAAACATGTGGCCATCTGCTTTTATAAAGATTTACAGCCTTGGGAACCCTATGAGACAGTTCTACCTTGTCCTAAAGCGTAATTATGAGTCAGAATTGACTCAAGAACACTGGGTTTATTTTGAATGACAGATCAGGGTGTCATAACCCTTAAAGTGTATCTTACATCACATGAAGTTTGCACTGACTTGGCAAATATGAATTAACTGTGAACTCTGACATTACAGGTGGTAAATGTGATACAATCCTTACAGGAAATCTATTCCTGAAGATGAATGTGATCCAAAGTCCTTCACCACCATCTGGGGCTCTTTTATCACCTGGTTCTTGCCTCATGTTTTTATGCCACTGATTGCCACTCACTTTGATCCTAGTCACCTGAATAACTTGCAATTTCCCATTGCTTTACCCCAGTGCCACCCTTTGCAATACTGAGTCTTTAGTGTTGGCTTTTAGCTTTCAGTGTAAATGGCACTTCCTCGGAAGCCTTCCTTGGTCCATAAACTAGTCTGGATTAGTTGCCTTTCTTTATACTTCCCTAATACCTTGGAAAAGGAGCTCTGGTAGTATAGTGGTTATGAATCAGGCTACTAACCTCAAGGTCAGCAGTTTGAAACTATCAGCTGTTCTGCAGGAGAAAGATGAGGCTTTTTACTCCCATAAAGATTTACAACCACAGAAACCCTATACCACCACCACCAACAACAACACCTTGGACTCATCCTAGTGGTCATTCTTACCTTCTGTTTACTTTTTAGTCTCCACACACTTAGACTTGAGCTCCTTGAGGGAGAGCACTGGTCCTTTTTGTTTTCTCAGTGCCTAGACCAGGGCCTGGGCTCTAATAGAAACTCAGTCGATATTTGTTAACTGAGAGAGTTAATGCATGTGGCAATAAAATCAGAGTTCATAAAAGAGTTCAAGGGTGTGGTGTCTAAACTCTTTCATATACTTCAGAAGTCATTATCTCTGTAAGACGTTCATCTCCATCATATTTTCCTTAAACCATTTTCCATGACTGACAGGTAATAATTATAGGATGAAATAACCTTAGGTTGATTTCAGATCCCTGTTGCCAGATCCTGGTTTTCTGCACACTCTCTAACAGGGCTATCAACCTACTATGTAATTCTTACCACGCCTGCTTCTCTCCCTTTGATTTACTACATTGCCCTTTTGTTTATATATAATGGAAGTATTTAACTTCCTTATTAAATTAATGTGTGTGTTAGTATATGCCTTAAATAGCTGTTGTGGTCATGTAGCCAACACCTGTAGGGCAAATACAGCATACCTTCCCCACAAGGATCTTTAAGCCATACACATCCTAAGAGAAGACAATGATTGGAGTTGCTCTGTGTTCAGTGGAATCCAGAAGTAGAGTTTGAATTACCATAAACACAAGTTGCAACCAATGGAAAAGTCTGAGAGTACCTCATTCTCTATCCAAATACTACTTGAGTAATTATTATCCTCACAACTGGTCCAATAAATAACATCAAGGTAACTAAAGAAAAGATCGAAGTTGTCAAAGACTTCATTTTGCTCTGATCAACCATCAACACTCATGGAAGCAGCAGTTGAGAAATCAAACGATATGTTGCATTATGCAAATCTGCTGTACAAGACCTCTTTAAAGTGTTGAAGTGCAAAGATGTCAGTTTGAGGAGTAAGATGTGCCTAACCCAAGCCATGTATTTTCAATAACCTCATATGCATGTGAAAATTGGACAGTGAATAAGGAAAACCATAGAAGAACTGATGCATTTGAGTTATAGTATTGGAGGAGAATATTAAAATTACTATGGACTGCCAGAAGAACAAACAAATCTGTGTTGGAAGAAGTACAGCCAGATGTTTCTTGGATGCCAGGATGGCCAGTCTTCATTTCTCATACTTTGGACATATTATCAGTAGGGACCAGTCCCTGGAGAAGAATATCATGCTTCGTAAAGTGAAGGGTCAGCGAAAAAGAAGAAGATCCCCAACAAGATGGATTGGCACAGTGGCAGCAGCTATGAGTTCAAGCGAAGCAATGATTGTGAGATTGGTGCTGGACCAGACAGGTTTCTTTCTGTTGTGCATAAGGTCGTAATGGGTCAGTACTGACTCAACAGCACCTACAGCGGTTATTCAGCTGGCTTTATCTTCTGAACCCCAATCATCCTAAGTCCACCAAGGACCATAATATATTGGTGGACTTTTAGCAGAAAGGTTGGAACTATTAAGACCGACAAATTTCTTGTATATGGTGTGGGAAGGGATTCAAAGAAAGCCCAAGTGTGTGAGGGTTTTTTCTAATATGCAATGATCGTAGGTAGTATTTGGAAGTACCTACTGAGGTGGTTGCTTTTCTAACTGGATTGTGACTACAAGTATCTTATTTGTTTAATATCATGTTTATCACCTTACCTCCTTCACAGGAATGTAAGCTCTAAAAGAGCAGGATCTTTGCTCTGCTTACTGCTTTATCCCCTACACTCAGGAGCATATACCAGGCATACACTAAATCCTTCCCCTGCCAAAAAACAAGCAAACAAATAAACATCAAAAAAACCAAAACCAGTTGCCATCAAGTTAGCTCTAATTCAAGGCAACCCCATGTGTGTGAGAGTAGAACTGCATTCCATAGGGTTTTCAATGGCTAATTTTGAGGTGCCTCTAGGTGGGCTTGAACCATCATCTTTTTGTTTAGCAGTTAAGTGAGTATTAACCATTTACATCAACCAGGGACTCCTAGACACACACTGTTATTGTTGTTGCTAAGTGCCATCAAGTTGGTTCCAACTCTTACTGACCTTGTATAGGGTTTCTGAATGAATCACTAACCTTAGAGTTAGCAGTCCTATGCTTATCCTATAGCACCACACTAGGACTTCACACTTGTTGTTGTTCTTATTAAGTGCCATCGAGTCAGTTCTGACTCACAAGGACCCTGTATATGAAATGGCTGGTGGGTCTGAACCACTGACCTTTCAATTCAAACTGACCTTAAGATCCAGTGCTTACTCTACAGCGCCACACCAACACTAAATATTTCTTTAGAGAATGGACTCAGGCATACAAAACAATAGGGAATTCCCAAACATCCAGTGAACAATTAGGAGCTGCTAAAAGGTAAGTTCTGCGTAGTAGTTACAAATTGGGCTGCTAACCTCAAGGTCGGCAGTTTGAAACTACCAATGGTTCCTTGGGAGAAAGATGAGGCTTTCTACTCCCATAAAGATTTACAGCCTCAGAAACCCTGTGCAGGGTTACTATGAGTCGGAACCGACTCCACTGTACTTAACAACAACAACAAAAAGAAAGTAATAACTACATGGGAGCAAGGTCTAAAGTTTATTGGTACTAAGGAATTAGCCATTACATCAACAAAACAACAGTGAGCTGCTCAGTAAATCTTCATCTTTCTTTGACCTCTGGGAGCAGTAAGTCATGGTCAAGCACAACCAGTCCCCTTTGACTTCTGTGCCACCTCAGACTTCTGGATAGGAAGGACACCATGGAACCCCTGGGTCCTGAACAGAGTCCTGGGGGAATGTGCAAACAGTTCAGGGAGTATCCAACCTGGCATCATTCTTCTGCTTCCAGTGAAGCCTCTGTTATTATGCGGCAATGGAACCGCTTACGTTTGAATGTTCTGCTTCTCCTGAAGCTTGAATGCATCCAGCTACTGTCCCAGAATTTATAAGCCAAATTCTACAAACACATTTCTGTAACCCTTGATGTCCTTAAATTTATTGCTCCTCAGATTAGCTTGAATCTGCCTTTGGCCACTCTTAAAAGGGACAGTCTTCAGAGTGATACTGGCCCGATGTTGAGGTTTAAGGATTCCAATGCTACAGAAAACAATAGAGAATGTTAGAAAAATGTAGGCATTATAATAGCCCCTCAAACCCTTTGCTACTTAGTTTCCTGATTTCTCCCCTCCCTAGTGTTCTTAGAACCTGACTTGTCCAGAAAAAAAGGACAGTGCTAATCCTTGGATAAAATGGGAAAGAGAAGCCTGGGACTCCCATTATTATTACATTATTCTCTGCTGCTTCTTGAAGAGGCCACTGCCTTCCACGGTCAGCACACAGTCAGCAACTGGCTCTAAGAGGGGGTTTTCAAATACCACCTGTATGGAAAGTGGTTGGTTCACAATGGCAGCTCCTAGGACCTAAACAGAGACACACAAATGAAAGGAAGAAGGGAATTAATATTCATTCACCAACTCACTAAACATTCATGAAAGGCCTACTGCATCTCATGGACTCCTGGTGTGGTGCTGTAGAATCAGCACCGGACTGCGAATGACAAGGTCGGCAATTCAAACCCACCAGCTGCTCCTTTACAAACACTATACAGGGCCACTATGAGTCAGAACCAACTCAACAGCACTTAACAATTGCATCTCAGGTAACATTCCTTTGATCTGCTTCCAGAAAACTAGATTTCCTTGACCTGTATTTTCCCAAATATTAGTTGAAACAAGTTAGTGAGTTGTGATCAGCATTTTTGAAAGCTGAAATAAAATAGAAGAAAATATCAGAATGCAAGATTAATGCCAGTATTGTTACATGAAATGTTTGTTAAGTATGTGAAACTTCAGTTATACATGTATGGATGTTTGTAAAGGGTTGTGATGTAAACACTTTACACTATTCAATTCAGAGGATGGAAAAGTCTCATGAATTGGTAGTCTGGTCATATTTCCTCTGCTCCAAGGATTCCAATCAAGTATGTATAATCCAGAGCTTCCAAAAGAGGCACGTGTATAATTTGAGGGGATAGAATCTTCTTGGGCAGCTTTTGTTTGTTTCTTTCTTCATATTACAATTCTACCCCATTTCTTCTTCCCCTCCATTCATAATGTGCTCATTTCCTTTCCTACCAGTGGTGCATGAATAGAGAGTAATGGGTTATTTAGGGCTGCAGCTAGAGGGGAAGTAGTCTCAAGAATCCTGGATATACTTTTTGACCAGTTGCCTTGGAGTTAACCTTGACTCATGATGATCCTCTGTGTGTCAGGGCAGAACTACAGGGTTTACAGAGGAAGAAGGCCACCAGGACTGTCTTCTGAGGTGCCTCTGGGGAGACTCGAATTACAAATCTTTAGGTTAGCAACTGAGCACATTAACTGTGTTCACCAAGCAGGAACTCCATCACGCTTTTCAAAACCCTCCTTAAAATGGACTTCAGCATCTGGGTTTGCCATATTCACCCTACTAGGTGGCACCCCGGCTCACTTGTTGTTGTTGTTGTTACCATCGAGTCGGTACAGACTCATAATGACCTTATGCACAGCAGAACAAAACACTGCCCAATCCTGGGCCAACCTTACTATTGTTGCCACACTTGAGACCATCAATGCTGCCACTTGGCCAACCCATCTCGTTAGGGGTCTTCCTCTTTTTCTCTGACCCTCCACCTTACCAAACATGATATCCTTCTTCAGCTACTGGTCCGTCCTGACAGTATGTCCGAAGTATGAGAGACGAAGTTTGGCCATCCTGGCCTCCAAGGAGCACTCTGGCTGCACTTCTTCCAACATGGATCTGTTGGTTCTTTTGGCAGCCCATGGCACTTTCAATATTCTCCTCCAACACCAAAACCCAAATGCATCAATTCTTCTACGCTTGGCAGGGCTTAAAAGGAGCTCGCTTGGTTGGCATATAGGAAACAACACTAGTAGGAAGGGAACCCTGATGCTTTCCCATTCAGAGGACCATAGAATGTGAGAGTAGGAAGGGTCCTTAGAGGCTACCTCTTCTAATCCTCTCGTTTGACAGTTTGAGAAGCAGACACCCAGGAACTTGTCTCAGAATATATAGACAAAAATGACAGTTTGAGCTGACCTTTTAAGTAGTGCCATTCCCCCCACCCAAATCCCTCCCACTTGAATGTACAGTTTCTACTGTTGACCAAGTACTGAAGATCAATAGTGAGAGAGAAGCTCAAGAAAGGGATGCCTCCCCGACCTTCCCAATGGCCAGTTTCTCAAGAAATCTCTAGTGCTGCAAGAGGACTGAGTATTTTCAGATAAACCTGACCCTCCTTAGTGGGTCAGCAGCTGGGGGCACCAGAGGTGGCAGAGGAAAGAAGGGCTACTGTACTGTGCAGGTCCAGGCTGCCCTCTCAGAGACTCCACCCTTTCCCAGGTGGATTCCAGGATTGTTCCCATCCCCCAGCCATTTTCAGGGATCTTGCCTACATTAATCATGATGCCAGGATAGGCCAAGGTGATAATCTTGTTCACCAGGATCTTCTCAGGACAACTCATCTCTTCTCCCAGAGCACTGATGCGGATCAGCTTGTCCATTGACAGGTACTGGCTGTACTGGGAATAGGGGATTTTGCAGGGATGGATCTTTTCTAGAAAGAAAACACAAGGATGAGGTGAGAGTGGTTGAGGAACTCAGTTGGGGCTGGGTTGGATGTGGGGGGTTCTTCTATGGAAAGGAGGGAGTCAACATGTACTGAGTTGCCGTAAAGCATAGAGCCCCCATGAAGCTTTTCAGATGAGAGACTGAGCTTAAGAGAAGCTAAGTGGCTTGTCAAAGGTCATTATACTAGTAAATGCTGAGCTGAAGATTCAACCAAGGTCTGGATGACTCCCAAACTCAGACTTTTTCTACTAAACTAGGTTACTTCCTTACAGTAATAAAAAAGGGGAGGGAGAGAAGGAGGGGAGAGAATGGAGAATGAGAAAACATGAGGAGGAAGAGAAGGGAGGAAAAAGGAAGGGATAAAGGGAAGAAAGTCTGTTCAAGAGAGAGGAGTAGGAAGGGAGGTATCACAGGGATCGATTTCTAAGACCATTGGCAGTTACATAACCACTCTGTGTACACAGTCTGTCCCCATGCCCACACCCAGAAGCCTGTACCTTCTTCAGCAGAGAGGGTGATGAATGCTGTGTCCTGCCAGAAGGGGGGCAGGGGGCTGCCGTCATGTAGCAGGGACTGGGCACTCAGGTTCACCTTGAGGTCCTTGAACTGGGATGACATGTTGAGAGCCACTAGAGCAAAGCTTATGTTCTGGCCCATGTTGGCTGGGTTGAGCAGCTTGAGTTTCAGGGAGACCTGGACAACATCACTGGTCCGAAGGGAAGGTGTAGCTAGGCTTCGAGGGCTGTCCCTGCTCAGTGTCATTGGCCTAGAAGGTTGAGCATCATATCCTTGGTGGGAGCCTTGGGTCCTTCCAGCCTTCAGCTTCTGAAGAGCCTTTAGAAACACCTGCCTCTCCTGGGGGGAACCTGGGAGGGGAAAGTATAGCACCAGCTATGGGCCAGGCTGACTCAGGAGGTAAACCTTGGCTTCCCCCAACACTTACACCTATACCAGCCGTATCTGTAAAGGTGTTGACAATAATAATAAATAAACAAATTAGGATCAGCACTGGACTGTGAACCACACAGTCAGCAGTTCAAACCCACAAGCTGCTCCTCGGAAACCCTGTACAGAGTCGCTATGAGTCAGAAATAACTCGACGGCACTTAACAACAACAACAACAACAAAACAACAACCATTCATTAGGGAGTCCTGGTGTGGTGCTGTAGGATAAGCACTGAATTGCTAAACACATAGTCAGCAGTTCAAACTCACCAGTCACTCCTCAGAAACCCTATGAGTCAAAACCAACTCAATGGTACTTAACAACAACACCAGCCACCACTCACTAAGCGCTTCCTTAGAGTCAGGTTTTGCTGAGCACTTTGTACCTTTAATCCTCACATAAACCTTAAGAAACTGTATTATTATTGTGATTGTTGATCTAGATGAGGAAAATGGGGTTCAGAGAGGCCAGATCACTTGTCCAAGTTACACAATTATGATTTGGAGTCCAGGCTGAAACCATTGCCTCACTCCAAAACTCTTGACCATTCAACTCTATCCTACTCTCAAAGGAAGAGAAAGGCTCACAAATGTGGAAAAGTAAAACTTTTAAAGCGAATGGGGCATAATGGTTCTGTCCCCAAACCAAATTTATGGCAGGATATAGACTAATTCCTGGAAACTGAGAAACAGAAGCAAAACAGAGGCAATGGCCCAGTCCATTCCAAGGCTCTAGTAGTGTAGTGGTTACAAGTCAGGCTGCTAACCTCAAGGTAAGAAGTTCGAAACTGTGAGCCGTTCTGTGGGAGAAAGGTGAGTCTTTCTGCTACCATAAAGATTTACAGTCTGGGAAACCCTATACAGGGTCGCTATGAGTCAAAACAGACTCCACGGCACACCACTACCACCAATAACAACCACTAAAGCTAAAGATGAGATTAAAGAACTCTACCAACTTCTTCAGTCAGAAAGTGATCAAACATGCAATCAAATGCATTGATAATTACTGGTGATTGAAATACAAATGCTAAAAACAAAAAGGAAGAATCAGTGTTTGGAAAATGCTTTGGTGATACAAACAATGCTGGAGATCACATGACAGATTTTTCAAGAAAAGTGACTTATTCATTACAAATATCTGTTTTCAATAATATAAGTGGTGACTATATATATGGATCTCACTAGATAGAATGTAAAGGGATCAAATTCATTACATCTGTGGGAAGAGGTGATTGAGAAGTTCAATTAT